AATGATAAGCAGAACAAAAAAGATAGCTGTTAAAACAGAAAATCATTACAGTTAGCACCTGGGTGTATCTGTAATTATTGCAATTACTCCAGCTGGGAGAAACAGGCAAGAACTGGGACAGAGGCTCATCTTGCCCCTATGCCCAGAGGCAAGAGCTCTTCAATATTGCCCCATTGCTTTGCTTCCTGGAGCAAACAGAACTCAGTCAGAGAAGACCTGGGCAACTAGAGAGCAACCACGGCCAAATAACCAGGGGCTACTGATGCTCTGGTTTCTGGCATAGTTTGTAATATTCCTCCTTCCATTTCTTTATATCAATCAATTATTCCTCTTCATTATAATGTGCGCTACAGTTGTCAGCAGACTCCAGCTGGAGTCAAGAGCCCTTGTACAATGTCTTGAGCATATGCACAGTAAGAGACAATTTCTATTTTGGCAGCTAATGGTTGAATGGAAGATGGGGAAGCAGGAGGTGGGAAGAAAATCTCTTCAGACTGATCAAAATGCATCAGTTTTAGATGGGAGAAAATATTTTATTTGCCCATCCTTTTTTTTGGCTGCTTTGAAAATGTGAAAGAAACACATCGTTTAAATATTTTCATTTTTCCTGTTTTTTTCCAGTTGAAGTTGTTCACTGAATTCACAGAAAGTCTCAGAGAAAGAATCTGAAAATTGCTGTATTTAAAAACTAGGCTTTTGGTTGATCTATTTTCTTTTGCATCCCTTATGAGCCTTTGAAAATGTCTCTATAAAAAGCTTAAGTGCTTAAACAGTCTCTATTTACACTTTCCTTACCAACTTCTCACCCAATACATGGACATCAATGTGTCTCACAGTATATTTATTAGCTCTTACAACAGAGATGAATCTCTTTGGTAGAGCAGCAAATTGAAAGGTTATGTGTGTGCTCAGGGGGATGGGGTGAAGTCTGAGTCCAATTAACAAAATGGCATACCTGTCACTGGTGGTGTCACAGGTGAGGAAAAGGATGGAGTTGGACCTACAAAGAGAGAGAAATTGTTGATTTTGTATAGATTTGTTCTTCTGGTGATGAGCACCAAAGCAGTGATGAGGATAGAGTCAGGCTAGGTCTGACAGCTCTCCTTCTACACAGAACACTTAGGAATTGCCATGTTTGTTTCTTGGCCATCAATAGATGTTTCCAGCCTGGATATCAACATACATACTGATCTGATATCAGTGGGCATGAAGTGAACTGTATCTTCCATGAAATAGGATAAAGCTAAGGTCTTTATTTCATATGAGATTGAGGAGGATGACTTCCAAAGTGCCAAGGTAGGATTTGGAAACATGGCTTCAAACAGGACCTTTTTTTTCCCAGAAATGTAACCCAAAACTTCCCTGGTGCAAGAAATTAATTTAATTTCTCCCTTGTCCTGAAAAGGAAGCTCTGAACTTGAGCTAGTGTGAGATAAGGGCATGTTTTTAACAAGAGGTGCTGTAAAAATGGTCTCTTGATAAATCTCTTTGTGATGAATGCTGGGGGGAGAACTTAGAAAGGGGAGGATATTCCTTATCCAGCCCCATTAAAGACATCACATCATAACAAAGAGTAAGACAACACTTGGGGGGAATAAATATTTGGTGTACCAGTTACAAAAAACTGACCATACTCAGATTTGAGTGTATTTTTACAGGAAGCTGGAATCACTGTTCTGTTGAATTAAAGGCCAAGATGGCCTCTTTAATCACTCAGTCTCATGTTTTTCATAATCCTAAATGTAAAATTTCAAATATTTGTAATCTTTGACTATTCAATAGGTTGTATCCTTTTCTAGGACTGGTATGTTGATGGGTTGTTTCTATTGTAGCAAGAAGTTCCATCATTCTGATAGTCACCAAGTGAAATTATCAATGGAAAAAAAAAATCACCATCCTGAAGGAAGAGAAAAGATGAAACAACAAATTGTGACAGCTGTACCTGGAACATTCTGAACTGGACACCCCAGGGAAACAGACCGATCTGTGAAGAAGGGGAAAAAATCCTGGGTTAGTGCTGAGTTAGTGCGTCCAGTGAGAAAGGTGATTCGTTCCTACAGTCAGAGCAGCAACAAGAGGCAACGATGGCCAAGTGTCACCTAGAAGGTTGCTCTGCAGGCTAAAGGACCTTCCCAAACCATCCTGCTCTACCACATGGCCTGGTATGGGTCACAAGGGCTGGCATTCATCTCACCTACCATTACATAGATGTGGCTTCTGAGATAGTCATCTGGACTCTGCTATAGTCACTGGGGAGAAACGAGCCTTTAAAGAGGGCAATTCATCTCATGCTAAAATAGATTTGTGAAATAGGGCAGCTAATATCAACACCTATTTCCTTCTGTTGGTTATAAAAGCATTTGAACTCAGATGTGGGTATCTATGCAGTAGATGTCTATAGTTCTACAAAATTAATTTCCCCTTAAAGGCCCAGCTACTAGTGAAAACCATTTTTTTTCCAATCTCTGTTGGTAGGAAAAGTCCTCTTGTGTTGATCTTGCATTGGCTTCCACCTCTGCAAAGTTCAGCCCACAGCACTGCTCTGCCTCAGAGGAAGTTAAGAGGGTAATGAAAGCCTGAGGAATGTAGAGATGATGGACAACTGGGTCCTTCCACCTACAATAGCTCTGCCTGCCACCCGGAGAGAGCCCAAGACCCTCAGCACTATCACAGACGCTTGAGAAAGGGACTCTGTTTTCTCTCTGCATATTGAACTCATGTATTGTAGAGTTAGGAGAGATGCCATCAGAAAAGGTGGGTAATTTGGGTGGGACAGAGACCATAAAGGTAATCTCTTTTTTTTTTTTTAATTAACACATCTAAAAGCATAAAAACAAGAGGAAGAGGTTCTGCAGCCCCATTTGAGAGCCCTACTGGCTCCCTGAGCAGTGAAACTCAAGATGCCAGACTGCAATGGTGCATGTACTGCTGAATTGGGGTCTATAAAGAATACAGTGCAATAGTGGTGGGTTTCTTTCTGTCTTTTTGTGTAAAACAACATCTTGAGTGTTAAATTGAGAACTGAGACACATTACTCATGTTCAGCTGTGGAGTAGCTAAACTCTGGATCCTAAAACCATGAGCAATCATGAGAGAAGCTTAGATACACATTCTGGAGTACTTTATGGTGAACTAACAATAGATGACCTATAGCTGCCAGGAGGAAGGAGAAAGAAAAAGGCTTCTTCTACTATTTTCTTCCCAGTATATGAGTGTGGCTCTATCTATTCACAGATTCCTGCAATTTTGCAGTTAGTATGAAAGGAAACCCAAGACAAGGAGGACAACAACTACGTCCTCCCCAGAAATGTCATCTCCATCAGTCACAGACGACATCTCTGTTAATGTCAGAGCCCCAAGGTTCCTCATCTCTCTCCATCCTGAACCCCAAGCATGTTCTTTCCTAGGACTGACATGCTGAGCTGGAAGGTCTGGACCCTGCCTGAGCAGGTCATGACACCAATGTGATGCCAAAGCAACCATCTTACCTGGTTCAGTAGTCTGTGGTGTCCAGTCATCGCTATAGCTGCTGTCATTGGTGCATTGCATGTTAAGGGGGGTCCAGGTGATTTGACCATTCACCTTCTGGCATGTTCGCGTGCCAGAGGTGGGGGATCGCTTATCGTAACCGCTCTGGCATTTGAAATGTAATACTTGCCCCAAGTAATACTGTTTATTCAGTCTTAAAGAGGCATGTGGAATAGTCTTGGGAGGACCACAAAAATCTGTGGGATCACAAAACAGCACATGGTTAAAGCAGATAGATTTTCCCTTCTGCTTTTGTTCTTGAAACAACATGATTTGTATTCTTACACAACACAGACAAGCAGGATATGTGAAGCCTTCCTAATTCTTTGTTAGGATATAAAATACTCATGCTCTTGCACCATATCACTTGTTCAGCTGAGATCTTAGAGCAATAGTTTCTTTTCTCTCTGTCTGTCAAAATAATAAAAAATTGCTCATATTCTTACACTGTTTCCATGGGAATCAGTGGAAGAAGAGTTACAGTAATGAATGGGCTCTTACTTACCTTTCTGGTCAAACTCTGACATATTTTCTCTCTTCTGAGGTGCAGGGCTTTGTGTTTTTCTTTCTGGCTTCTGTGTAAAATCCAACTTCATTGTGGGACCCGTTGACAATAAAATCTTCTTATCTGTGGGAGAAGTTATATTTGCTGAATTACAAATAGCAGAGCAAAGCCAGAGCACCCAAACTTTTAGAGGCAGGATAGAATTGTTACAAGTTTTAACTTTGTAATTTGCAAAGATAAATGCAAAAGATCATTTGTTAGAGCAATGCCTGGATGTGCCTTACGCTAACTCATTGGAAAAACATCTCCACAAGTGTAGAAAAAGGACAATGATCACTTACCAATGCATTCAAATTCCCTGTAGACCCAAGCAGCAACCTGGTCTATACGTTGACACCAGATTCCTGCGTACTGGCCGCTTCTTCTCTCGTAGCCATCATCACATTCATAATAGAGCCTGGTCCCCAGTGGATACGTTTCAGCAGTAACATCAGCAAATTTGATCCCAAAAAGAGTTGGGCATAATTCTACAAACAGAAAGTCTGAGAATCAGGATAGCCTGTACATCTACCTTGCTCACCAAAGACTTCCCACATTTTTCTGTCTTATCCATACCAGCTCATGCCCAGAGCTCAGTAAAGAAAGTCTAATTCTGTTCCCAGCCACAGGGATAAAATCAGAGCTGAGGGATGAAACTGAATATCATGAAGGGAACATGAAGGTAGCAAAGCTTTGTTTCTTTGATTGTCTCTAAGCCAAGGAGAGGCTCTGAGTGTCTGGTGAAACTATTAGTTACTTTAAGTGAAAATATTTTATTTTCATTTTAGAGCAATCCTTCCCTCCCAAGCCTACTTCACTTTGGAGTTAGTTGTTGCCATTGATTTTATAAGCACAGATTTGTTCAGGATGCAGAAAAATCCCTTGGGAATGTCTCTACTATCAGCAAGCCTGTATTTGTCTACACCTTTTTAGTTAGGAGGGGCTGATTTGACTCCCTTGTTTCTTCTAGAAGAGAAAGGGTGCTGGACCAAGGATGTTGTTGTGGTGAATGGAGTTGAATCCAGTGGGTGTCCGGTCACAAGTGGTGTTCCCCAGGGCTCAGTACTGGAGCCAGCTCTGTTTAATATCTTTATCAATTATCTGGATGAAGGAATTGAGTGCATCCTCAGTGAGTTTGCAGATGACACCAAGCTGGGTGGGAGTGTTGATCTGCTTGAGAGTAGGAAGGCTCTACCGAGGGATCTAGACAGGCTGGATTGATGGACCAAAGGCAACTGTATGAAGTTCAACAAGGCCAAGTGCCAGGTCCTGCACTTGGGTCACAACAGCCCCATGCAACACTACAGGCTTGGGGAAGAATGACTGGAAAACTGCCTGGTGGAAAAGGACCTGGGAATGTTGGTCAACAGCAGCTGAACATGAGCCAGCAGTGAGCCCAGGTGGCCAAAAAGGCCAATAGCATCCTGGGATGTATCAGGAATAGTGTGGCCAGCAGGACCATGGAAGTGATCATCCCCTTGTACTCAGCACTGGTGAGGCCACATCTTGAGTGCCGGCTTCAGTTTTGGGCCCCTCTACTACAAGACATTGAGGTGTTGGAGTGCATTCAAAGAACAGCAATGAAGCTGGTGAAGATTCTAGTGAATAAGTCTTAAGACGAGTGGCTGAGGGAGATTCTCACTCTCTGCAACTACCTGAAAGGAGGTTGTAGCAAGGTGGGGTTCAATCACTTCTCCCAAGTAACAAGTAACAGGACAATAGGAAATGGTCTCAGGTTGTTCTAGGGGAGGTTTAGATTGGATATTAGGAAAAATTTATGAAAGGGTTGTCAAGTATTGGGACAGGCTGCCCAGGGAAGTGATTGAGTCACCATCCTTGGAGATACTTAAAAGACGTGCAGATGTGGTGCTTAGGGACACGCTTTAGACATGGACTTGGCAGTGTTAGGTTTACAGTTGGATGCAGTGATCTTAAAGGTCTTTTCCAACCAAAGATTCTATGATTCTATGTTCTGCAGCAGCTGGGAGTGGTGGTGGGAGGCACCAGACCTATCTACCTGCTCCTGTCCCCACTGCCTGAAGCAGGCAGTTGAGCCCTTTCTTTGTTGCCCAGCAGATGGGCAACATGAAACACTACCAGCATTTTATTAATGAAGCTGTACATGATCATATTGTAGAGCTGCTGCCTGCACCAGTGAGGCATAAAAAGCAAAACTAAGTCATTAAAAGTTTCAATCATCTATAAGCAAACATTGGAGAGGGGAGCAGACTCTTAGTTCTGTCTGAGCACACCAAAGAGCAACTTACTGTGAAATAAGTTTGCAAACCTAAATATAACTTGTCCCAAAACAAGGACGTGAAGTGTTGTGTCATCAGCAAATCACATCTAAATATACCTCTCAATCAGTTGGAATAAATTAAGTTAGATCATTTCAGTGCACTTGAAAAGCCCATTGAAGCTGAGCTGGAGACCCAGAAGTTGATAAAGGCATTACTTAATGATTATTTAAGGCCTGAAGGCTGAGAAATTCAAACACAAATCAAGCTGGTTGCATCAGGGTTGGCATTTGGGATCTTTGGGTGCATGATCTGTGGCCCTTTATGCTTATGCATAATAGTAACAGCAATTATGAGTAAAATTTCGTAGTCATTGTGTCTTCACATTTTCTGCAGCCATAATTAATGCAGCCTTAGCAACCACCAAGAATGACTGCAAAAGGGCCTTGAATCCCTGATAGTTGTTCATCATTTTGCATCTGCCCTTGACTCCCAAAGTGCCTTCTCCTTGAAACAAAGCCATGCCTTGCCAACAACAACCCAATCGGCGACTCCCAGACCCAGTCCTGCCATGCCCTTTTCTTTCAGAGCCACCCATCATTTTCTCGCTTTGATATTTTCTGCCCTTTTTGCTTTTCATTATCTTGCCACTTTGTAAAAGTCACAAAGTTTGAGGAAGGCAACAATGAAAAGTATTGTGAGTGGTTTAACAGCTCATCTGTGTAAGGGATATTTTAATCCCCTTATATCTTTGTGTTATCAAAGGATTCGTCTTGTAGACTGTGGCTTCGAGAGAAGCGACTGTACCTGAAATAGTTAACCACATGGTTTACCACAGACTGTCAGGGTGATTAAAATTAAAGAGTTATCAGATTAGTAGCAAGTTGACATCACGTACTCTCACTTTCCCTGAAAGCTAAAAGCATGTTTCCCTCAAGACTTCAAAAGTCTCTTTGAAGCAGACTGCAGATCTGAATCTCAGCACTCAAACCTACAACTCTTTAGTCTCTTCTTAAGAAAACCCACAGCATTTAACCTACTCATCATAAAGGGCAACTGTTGTTTTAATTGATGATCAAATGAAGTTAGGATTCTTCTGAAGTTGCACACATCATATAAGGATTGTCCAGAAATGGGGCACATGGGTGACAGTGAGCAATACTCATCAGCCTGGCACTCTTGGATCAACTCATCCATATTGCAGCTGCATCTCATGATACACTCCTAGGATCCAGCCTTTTAATTTCATCTGCATCACTCAAATTCTTGTCTTCTCACATCATAGAATCATAGAATGGTTAGGGTTGGAAGGGACCTTAAAGATCTTCTAGTCTCAGTGTGACCTTCTGTTTGCTTCCCTCTGTTGACTTCTAACTGCTTCAACTGTCACGTCAAATATTTTGCTCCCATTTTCAAGAACCTTCTTCTTATTAACTATAACCTTTCAAAACATTGGCTTCTCTTACCATGCTAGACCTCCTTACCAACATGTTTGATATTAAAGTCATCAGCTTTGGGGTTTATTGTTGTATCAGTCCTCACACTGGGAGGAGCTGTGCATGAATATGGACATTTCAAGATATCTGTTGCCATTATTCCTCTTCACTGTCTTTAAGTATCTTATATATCTTCAGAGGTGCATTTCTTTAAGTGGTCTTTTACCCATCTTTCAAGAACAGGTAGGCACCCAATGTGCTGATCAGTATTACTTCTGCACTTTCTTGCCTTACATTGGGATCCTAAACTTCCTCTGTCAGCAATTTGGACGATGTCTAACGAGTCCTAGCTATCAGCCAAGACTTCAGACGTTGTGGCAGTAGGTGTGACAATAACTCATTATAATGACTACACACTCAGTGAAGTCTGTCTGAGAATGGAAGCTTGGCCAATAGTTTGGCCATCAAACTCATAAGAGCTTCCAGGGCTTTGACATTTATCAGCACCACAAATTCAGGCTAATTGCTATATTCAAACTCCCACCAGGGAAGAATAAGCATCCCTCAAAGCTGCAGAGGCCATAGGTGGTGGCATAGAAGTGTGCAAGGGTCTTTCATCCCACTGGATCTCTCAGGATAGTGTGGGAAGACGGTGCAGAGAGGAAGAAGACCTGGTGAGTTCTGGATCATACTGGCTACACAGTATGACCTCTGGAGTGTTTCATCCTTAGAACTTCATTCAGTCTTTGTGCCTAAGAAAACTGCATGGTTTACCCCTAAAAAAAATCAACATTCCTGGTGTGTGGGTGCTAAAAGAGCCAAGGGATGGGAAGAAGCCAGGAAACTAGGGAATGGCAGTGTAGATTTACTCCTCAACTAGATTTCTGACTTCTTAAATTTTTAGGGGAGATTTACTTTACTTTTTTTGGTGTTTTGCACCTGGTTGGAAATCAGTCTGTCAATTTATTTGAGTTAGGAAAATATAAACCTTACAAAAAGCCAGCACACCTAGGTATAATCTGCCTCATAGCCTTTGGTGGCCCAGTTTGGCACAACTCAGCTTTCCTCTGGATTCTGCATCCCTCCACAGCTACTCCAGGGCTACACTCTGATAGTATTGGTTTAAAAGACTGCCCTCACATCACCTTCAAATCTCCTCTTGGGGTTTTGTTTGCCTCCTCATTTTCCCTCTCCACATCCTACAATTCTCCATCCCTGTCACAAGGTGCTGTGTGTCCTTATTTCCTCCTCTTTCAGCCCTGATGTCCTCTGTCCTCCCTTTCCTTCATTCACAAGCTTCATTAGCCCCCACCTACCGTTCTCATTTTCTACACCCCAAAAATGCTCCCTTTCCTTCATTCACAAGCTTCATTAGCCCTCACATACCATTCTCATCTCCTACACCCCAAAAGTGACCTATGACTCCATTTCTTTGCACTTAGAGATACTAACATGATGTATTGAAATGGGCTAAACAGAAAGGTTGGTGTAATTATGTTCCTTGGATTTAGCACTGCTATCAGCTGCAGAAGTGCTAGAATCCATAGCTCTCCTAAGGCAGCTGAGAATCCACATTTCTCCCCATATTAGTGGATTTTTGATGCCTACAACATTTCTGGAAATTTTGGAACTTGTTTCAGATATTACCATATAGTGGATGGAGATGTGCCCTTGGAATTAGAAGGTGACTAGTGAATTTAGATGATAGACATCTGTGAAGCATGAAAATTAAAATGTAGTTATTGCATCCTCTGGTGTGCTCCTAAAATTAATTTTAATAAGTTTTCTGAGACCTGCAAGCCACTCATCATCTGA